CATAGGAAAAATGCAAAGAGAAAAACAAGGAATGGGAGAACCACAAGGGAAGCAGGAAAAGGGAAGAGAGAAAAAGCCAAAAACCAGCCACTGGGAAGGGAAGAAGAAAAAATAGTAATAAAAAGGAAGAAAAAAGGAAAAAAAAATACAGTATAATAATTTTAAAACAAACAAACTGAAAAAAATAAAAATAAAATCTGGGCAGGGTGGTGCAGAGCACCTGGCTCTGTCAGAGCACACTTACTGGGATGGAATATCTGCTGGCCCAGAAGGTGGTTGGAAATGAGGGTTGCCCGCACTTCTGTTTACCAAGAGGGTATGGGGTATAAGAGTAACAAGGGGAATGTCACACCTTTCCAGTCCTCCATGTCCAAAATCTCCTTGAGGTCCAGGCAAGTGGAGTCTATTTTTAGGTGCCTGGAATCTCAGCGAACACTGAGGCCTTAAATATAAAAAATGGTGGAACTACATGTAAAGAGTCAAAATGGCTGTGGCCCCTAGACAGCCAAAGTCCACAACTCAGCCTGTCTCCGTCTTCGCTGCTTCCACTTTTATTCACTAGCCAACAGTGCAGTCCCCCATACAGCCCCTGGCTAGCAGGGCTGATTTTTAGGTTAATTCCTAGGTCCTAACACCACTGGGCAATATCCAAGCTGTCTGTGCCATCAGGATCGCTAATACTCTGCAGCTCCGTATATCTCCTTTTTCAGTGTTTTCATGCAGGTTCTTCTACTAGTTCCACTTCTGTTTCTTTCCTTTCAAAGCTCAGGGCTCTAGCATTATGTTCTATCTCTGTTAGTTGGTTCCTCTTTTCTTTATTGAAGAGGTCTGTGTAGTTTGTCTGCCCATTCTGCCATCATACTGGAACCTCTAAATTTATTTCTCTTTTATGTAACAATCACAGACATATGTGTTAGATATTAGCTTTGTTTTACGCATCATTCAGGGATCCAAGATGCATCATTAATAAGACTTATGTAGTTGCTGCTTTAGTCACCACTCCACCAGGTGGGAAGAGAGGAGATAGAGAGTATAGAAGATATGTAGCCACCCTCTTAAATCCCATCAACCAAAAGTGGCATTGGCTTCCATTTCATTTATTTGAAGAGAATTTAGTTTCATGGTCAAACCTAACTGCCAGGAAGTCTTGGAAAGTTACTTAGGTGTATGTTGCACTATAATCCTGTAACTAAAGAGAAAGAAGTAATCAGATAATTAGCTATGAATCCCAAGAAGCAACTGTAATACCTGAGAAAAAAAAATGACAAATGACAAATGGAAAGATGAAACGGAACTTTTAGGAACAACATGTATGAAGCCTCAAAAAGCATATTAGATTGAAGTAATTCATTGAATAAGTAAATGATCTACATTCAGGTATAAAGTTTGATTTTACCCTACCTACAAGCTCCCTGGATGACATAAATGGTTAACCTTGCAGCTACTATCTAAGAGACTGGTGATTTGAATCCACAGAGAGGCACCTTGGATGAAAGGCCTGAAAGTCTTTCCAGATGATCACAGCCACTGAAAACCTTATCAAGTGCAGTTCTATTCTGAAACACATGGGGTTGCCATGAGTTGGAGTCAATTCAACAGCATCTTGTTTGTTGCAACCTAATAAGTTAACCTTATTTATTTTTTTATGTTGATGTTTTAATTAACAACACAACTTTATAACAATTATTTCTTGTTTCATGGATTCTAGCAAAAAGATATAAGATTCTGGGTCAGAGACAAATTATATATATATATATATATATATATATATATACATACATTATATAATATGGGGATCATTTTGATCTTCATTGCCCTTATTTCTCAAGTCCCATGGGATTACATTATGGGGCCCAGACAGATGCTACTCACATCATGAATGAGTTAGTATTGTAGCTGAGGAATACTGAGCTTGAGGAATCATTCTTTTCATAGCAAGCAGTAAACAGACCTCCTAGTTATCTTTGAGGGAAACATTTTTTCATCCTCTCTGATTGTTCAGTACAAACACAATACTGAGAGTGGTCCAGGTAAAGAGGAGACAGAGGGTCTTGCAGTCTTGGTGCACCCAGCAAAACAGGAGTATGAGAAGACCATGAAGTATGCTTCCCAACACTCGTCACTCCTCAGTAGCCACTGGAGTTACTTGTGTGTACAGGACAATAAATTAATGCTCTGTAAGATGGTGAAATTATATTCACTGTGGAGATTTTTAATATTTATTTATTTAAAAATCAGTTATTTTCTGCCATCAGACACTTTTGAAAATGATTACTGGTTAATGATCAGGCTCATAAGGGATGGTATTGTAGAGCCATTTGCAAACATGAGAATGGATAATTGAATGGATTAGGTGGAGTGGTATTTATTAAATTGATTTGTAGTATGCTAGTACTGTGAGCATTTGGCTACTAACCAAAAGGTCAATAGTTTGAACCCACCAGCCACTCTGCAGAAGAAAGAGGAGTGGAAACACAGTGGGGATCATTATGAATCAGAATCAACTCAATGGCAGTGCATTTGATTTTGGTTTTGGATTCCTCCAGTCAATCCTGAGTTGATGATGAATGAGTAAAAATCCTTTTTTATATATGTAACTATTGTATATTACACTAAGCATTCATGTGGCTTAAGGGAAATATCATTTGGGGTAAATGATATATCATTTGGGGTAACTCCTTAGGTGGGTTGGTCCTATATGATTCATATTTTTGCGACTGTTACTTGAATAATAGCAATACTTATCTATGATTGGTTTCAATAAATGAGAGGCATAATGAAGAAGAGAGAATTGAGTTCATGTAAGTTAGATATTTCTTTTTACTACTTACCTGTCCCCTCCATCATAAACTATGATTTATTCTCTTTTGTCACTGGGAGGCAGTGATGGGGAGGTATGTTAAGAGCAAGGAAGTGAGTAGCAAAAGCTCTCTTTTCAGCTTTTGACTCTACTACTGAGTGACTTTGGGACTTTCGGCATCTCACTTAATCTCACTTAATATTTGGTATATAATGACTCTCTAGAATCAAATGAGATGTTGAATGTGAAAGCCCTATCTAAACTATAAAGCATTATGCAAATATTTAATTACCAAGAATTATGAGTACTTGAGCTTTTCTCTATTAGAAAAGACTAAAGAATATGTTCCCTCTCAAAGCTGAGGATATAATAGATCTCCTGATCTGAATATTTTAAATCATATTTTAACTGCTTTTAGAAAGTTTCACTTAAACAACAACAAAGGAAATTTAAAAAAGCTATAATTTCATTCATTTGTAAGCTTTGAGAAAGGGGCTCACTTTCTTATCTAACCATTCTTGATAAATTTGAATTTGTTTTTTCATTACTAACTCTAAGATGGTGGATTTTGTAAAACTGTATTTGTGTATTTTAAATGTTTTCATTACTGATAGTGAAAATTATATTACTAGAAGATATAGGCATGGATGATTAAAGGGAAATTATTTTATAGGATAAACTATAATGAGAATAGGGTGTTGAAAAATTTGAGAAAGGGTAGAAGATATTTACTGTGTAATGTATATGTGTGTCTGTGTGTTAATGAAAACTCATTATTCTCTTTTATCTTCCTGAAAATGTTGTCATTAATTGCCATGAGAAGGAAAAGATAGAGATGATGATGCAACTCAACTATTCCTTTTTTTTATAGGGTAGAATTTATTTCCCCCTGTTGATTGATTTACTGGCATAAACTTCCAAATATTACTCTTTCCTTTTTAGTGTTCACTGTATATTATTTTAATCATCCATTCTAATGATTAGTTGCAATGAAGGAAACTGCCATAGAATTATAAAATATTCCAACTGGAAGTGACTCTAAGGATCATATACTATAGCAGATAAGGAAAACAAGATTCACAGAAGTATCTTCTTTAAGGTCACATCTCTGGACTGTGGTTTAGATTCTTAAGATCAATCCTCCCTTTCCTACTTATAGCTGTGCTCATAAACTCTTATGTATTATCTTAGAATTTTCAGAGTATTTTGAAGCAATAATATCTCATTCTGTTTTTAGGTAGTTATTACAAGTAAAAGTGGAGAGATCTTGTATCGTATTTCACCATGGGCGAAGTATGTGACTCGTGAAGTTGGTAATGTTAATTATGACTGGATACACTGGGATCCGGAACACCCGTATAAAGTGAGAACAACAAATCTTTGAATAAATGCTTGTTCCAGTGTTTCTAGGAAAAGTAATTTTTACTTTAAAAAATTTAATGATATTTAGAATTTATAATTTTATATCATCATGTCCTTGTTATCCTACACACATATATATGGATCCATCATCTGTAGGCAATAAAATATAGAAGTGAGATTTTGTTTTATTCTAAGTTTCTGACTTTAGAGAGGAAAAACACGCAAAAAATAATCTCTACATACTGACTCATAAGGAATACTGAAAAACAAAACAAACAAAAAAGCTAAGCATTATTAAACTCTTAATACTAACTCTTCAGTCATGTAAGATTTTTCCTCATCATGGGCTTGAAGTAGCATCAGTGTCATTAGGAATAAAAAATAGTAATAACCCCTAATGAATTTATGAATTAGGGTAATATTTAAGGTTTTATTATCATTAAAATTTATTTTTATCTCTGAACTCAGTTTTCTATCTTTGAAGTTATTGATACTTGTTCATAAATGCTTTGCCTTTAATAAATATGCATATATTTCATAGCTTTTATTAGTGTCTGTTGTTGTTGTTGTCATGTGCTTTTGAGTCGTACCTGACTCATAGTGACCTCTCCTTGGGTTTCCGAGGCAGCATCACTACGGAAGTAGATTGCCCAACCTTCCTTCTGAGGAGTGGCTGGTGGGCTTGAACCGCCAGCCTTCTGGTTAGCAATCAAGTGCCTTAGGCACTGTGCCACCAGAGCTCACAAAATACCTTCACTGAGTAGTAGGGCATATCATACCAAGCCAATACGTGATCATTCTTTTAAATTAGTTTTATTAACAAGATCCTAAAATGTTTGTGTTGTTTTTGTTTTACCTAAAGAAAATTTAATGGATGTGGCCAATTCCTTTTTTATGTTGTAAATGTTTGACTGAATTGAGTCGCTCATCCACTTAACATGTTTGATCATTTGATGTCATACCTACATTCCTGTACTTATTCTTTATGCAACTTTGTATTCTATAGTGTAAGCACTCCAGACCAAAGAAGCCAAGAAGTCTAAGAATTTATGAATCTCATGTGGGAATTTCTTCCCATGAAGGAAAAATAGCTTCTTATAAACATTTTACATGCAATGTACTGCCAAGAATTAAAAACCTTGGTAAGTAATAACTGTGATTTTTATTCTGATAAAATTTTAATGAGTCTGTTCTCTTATTAGAAAAGCTAATTACAAGTGTCTCTTCTGTGTTAAGAGATTAAATATGTAATGGAAATATATTTTATTTTAGGCTTCTCAAATTGCCCTGTAATAGTGGTAGCATATAAAAAAGAAATGGAATAAGAGCTTAAGAATTCAAGATATTATTCCAATTTCAATTTAAAGTAATATGAACTGATGGTTTCAAAATTGTAGATAAATATGTAAGCATAATTACTTTTTTACAGGATAAAAGTTTTATCCAACTAAGTGGTCAGTGATTACAGCCTATTCATTTTAGTCTGTTATGGACTAGTGCTATATTTATAAATTAACTGGAACTCATTTTGCATAATTATCATTGTGTATAGTGCCTGTCTATATAAGTTATTTGAGAAATATTTATGGAGGATCTTCTTCATGAGAAACATTGTGCTAAATTTTCCTATAATGACACAGTCCTTGTTTTCAGAACAACCATGACAGTGAACAGTATACTCCTGAATTATTGACTGAGTATGCTTTAAACCTGTTATTTTTCTTTTTATAAATAATGCGTTTTTACAATTACAAAGTATATTTGCACATGCTTCAGTTGCTAGACAAAAGTATAAAAGTATGCATTTAATTATTATACTTCTGGTAGACAGTCCAAATTTTTACTGGATGAATAGCTGGCAATTCTTGATTAAAGTTTTCAGTTATCTATACATCCTAATTTCCCGTAATGGTGAGATCAAGTTACAAAAACTATCAATTAAATTTGTGTAGAATTAATTATTTTTAGATATTATGTTAAAACATGCTTTGAGATGTTCTGTCATATTGAATACTAAATTGTACTTGTTTTTGTGTCTGAATTATCTAGTCCAGCTCTTGGAATATAAATGAATCCATGAAAGGAATTCCATAAAAATGAAAAGTAAAAACTGTAATTTGATATTTGATCATAAGAATAATATGTATTACATAATAGAGAAACTACAACCTATAGAGCACATTTTAATTGTAATAAGATATATAATAATTTATTTATGTTACACAAGCAATTTACATAATTAAGTGATGTGGTAATGAATATAAACTTGTATAAACCTTAAAGTTATAGAACTTCTGTTGCTTTAAATTTGACTTTGAGCACAGAATCAGAATCTATTTTATGTATGTAACAGAGTAATCAAATAATATGTAAAAGTTTACCAAATCATACTTTTAAGAAAGAAAGCTTACTTTCCTTGGTTTTATTTTAAAGCTGTTTTTTTTCTCTGAATATTATTTCTTTATGTTAAAAATACCTTAGTAAATGCTGGTGTTATTAATTAGATATAATGTGATATATACTTTTTCACTCACTCCATTTAGCATTATCACAAAATGTTCTTTTAAAAAAGAAAGGAATATGTATTACATGTGTGAGAGTTTGCATGCACACATGCAAATTTGGAGTAATTTTGTAAGTGGAAAAATAGTGGAAAGTAGAAGCATTAATGCTGGCTCTATAAAGCTACTTTGTGGAAATACGGATTTAGTGATATTTCATATGATATATATTAGAAATGACTTTGAAATATTAAGAAAATGGTAAAATAAAAAGTATATGGAATGTAATCAGTTACTTTTATTTAGCTTTCATGTTCTTCAGTGAATATTAAAAGTACAAGTGAAGTTTAGCATATGCAGATTACCATCTTTAATATTCTAAAGCCAAATTAAGAGTATATTTGCATATCATTTATTACTTGTTAAAATGAAGATATTTCAAATAGCTAGTCAGATTATAATTCTCAGAAAGTAACCATCAAGTTTTGTGTTAAAAGGTTAGACAAGCTAAAGATGTTAAGGTGGTAGAACTTATTCAAGAACACCAAACATTCTTGATTACATATAAAATTTAAACTGTCTTTGGAACAAGGACAGTATTTTTATAGCATCCATTACTTTAAAAAAAATTGTGTGGCTTTTAATCTCTATTTGACATTTGCTTAAATAGGTTACAACTGCATTCAGTTGATGGCAATCATGGAACACGCTTACTATGCGAGTTTTGGTTACCAAATTACAAGCTTCTTTGCAGCTTCAAGGTAAAGTGAAAGATTCACTGCAGTCATTTTCATTTTGAGCAAATAAAAAAATGTATATTTATCTTTTATTAAACAATGTTTTGTAATCTATTTTAGTTAACTGGGTTAATAAAAGCTGAACATTTTTTTTTTTTTAATTGAGAGTGTAGACTGCTCCAGTCTAGCCTTAGAGGTTGCTTTTCATGAAGTGATTCATGATGAAGAATGTCCAGAAATTATCATGTGTTTGGAGACACTCAAACTTTAGTCAGATAATTGTGTCCTACAGAAGACATTATTGCCAGAGCTCTCATCCTTTTCTGGAAAGAGACTGACTTATGTAGGACGGTGCTCAAGGAAGCCGAAGCCCTTGGTAGGATATATAAAATCCATAGAAAGGCTGACTTTCTTCCCTGGCTGAAATCTATACACTGTGGTCTTTTGGGCAGAAAGAAACCGTGGGTTTCTAAGCAACTGAAGATGGTACTAGCTTCACTGACTGCAAGGAACAATTAATTTTGGCCATTCCTTGGAAGGAAGATTGGGCAATCTCCTTTTGTAGTGACGCCACCTCAGAAACTCAAGGATGGGTTGCTATGAGTTGGATCCCACTCAACAGCATTGAGTTTGGTTTTTGGTTTTGGAAAATCTGTTGACCTAGAGTTTAGTCCTTTTCTAGTTAGGCAATTTGCTGTGAGTTTCTATGTCAGTCTAACAATTCAAACATGGACATTCTGAAACATACATGCACATACATATACCAAAAAAAAAAAAAAAAACCTACTATCAAATCAATTTCAACTCATAGCAACTCCCATTGGGTTTAGAAGGTGGTAAATCTCTACAGAAGTAGATTGTTCCATCTTCCTTCTGCCATGACCCATCTTCGTTCTGTGGAGCAGATGGTGAGTTTGAACTGCCAACTTTCTGGTTAGCAGTCAAATGCCTTAGGCAGTACACCACCAGAACTCCTTATAGGTTTACCAACCCTCTCCAACTTACCTGCAGTACTCCCAGTTTGGTATTATTCCTTATGATTCTTTCTAAAGGCACTGAGTAAACAACGGTCCCATGCTTCTCTCCAATCTTCTAGTGACTACTGGCAATCCTTGCCTTTCCTTTGACATTCTGTATATTTGGCTTATTTATTTGTTGTCTCTCAACTAGGATGTAAATTCCATAGGGTAGAGATATATATATATATCTATATAGGAGCTCTGGTAGCATAGTGCCGAAGGCACTTGACTGCTAACCAGAAGGCTGGC